ACTAAAAAGAAACAGAAGAAAAAACGATAAAATCCAGTGAAAAAGCAAGCCAGTCAAGGAAAAATATCGCGTCCCATCGATTGGCAGGAGGCGGGGTGAGTACGGTAATTGCAGTGACGTTTGTCGCATGCCGCAAGGGAGAATGCCGCGGCAGGGGAGAAGTTCCGTTACCCCTCAGAACGCTCGGACTCGCGCACTACATTTAACATACTACATGACCTTTTCGTTGAGCTCTCCGATTATCGTTGCAGACCCCGTTTTAGACAGTTATGACCCCCTCGCGAGGACATGGCTTCTCAGGCAGAGATCCAAAATCCGTAAAACTCTGTGACTGTACGTAACCCTCGTAGTATTATCAAGACCTTGTCATTTCAGATGCATCCGGATCAGGCGGTTTCTCGTTTCTTCTCTCAGACGGACTACATCAAATCGGCCCAGAATGGTTTTCCATAGAAAGTTCGGCGAGTTCATCACCAGTGCTCCAGACAAACGCTCGCCTACTTGCATCACCCAACGCTAGCACGGTCATCGGTGTCGAATCACTGAGAGCCAGCATACCGAATGTAATGCCACACTTGTATTATATCACTGATTCTATTGGGGTCTATACAGATCCTCAAGATACATTATATATTCCAGGCCAGACCAGAAGAGATACTGTGAGTCGTCTATCAGTCGTCAGGAGCTCCACAAAAGGAATGGACCCTGAAAGACTCCTTCTACTTTGTGCTTCAGAAGAACGGTTCTGATAAACCGATCGAAGAAGAATTCAGGTAGGCGACGCCTTTGGCAGTTCTTTAAACCTTGGATTAGGCCATTAGTCACGACACTACTGACTTTCAACTCCTTTCCATCGGATTATGTAGACGGGTTCATTAGAATTTATTCTATAGTACAGTAATTTTCAGATTTCGAGTTGCATCTACATACGCTGCTCTGCAAGACCCTACAAAAGGATATGTAAAAACGACTCCGCTCAATATCTCCAAAGGTCGGGAAGATTCATTTTTGCGAGATTTTTTTTTTTTGTTAAACTTTCAGTTGGTGATTTCAATCTTGACCTTAGAGTTTTTTTTNTTTTTTTTATTTTGTACTCCTTTATATGTTAATTTGCTCAGTTGACAATTATACTATTCAACCAAAAACGTTTTTATAGGAGGTTCAGCTGCACTGACCAAAGCCCACTTTGATATTTCCGTCTTGGCTGCGTCAGCAGAGAAAGAGGTTCGTTTTTTCACTAAATTTCTTCCAGATATTGCTCTTACTCATTTTCGTTTTTTTAAATTATAAGAATTAATCCTTTGTTAAAATTGGTAGTCAAATGGATAAAAAAATTTTTGAAGACGTGTACGTTCACTCATTAGGTGGATACATTCCTATTTTCTCTACCTTGCGGATTTTTAAAAGGTGCATCTGGCACTAATATATAAATTTCAACATTGGTTTATTCTATTTATTTATTTGTTTATGTACTCACTTGTTTACTATCCACTTAAGAGCCTAATTATCGAAGTATCTACACCTCCACGATATGGTGTACTGGAATTTCTCGATGGGGCCGCTGCTTCGATGTACTGGTCGGATTTTCAAAGTGAACCCAAACTGATCTACCGAAATGGAGTGAGCTTTGTTTTCTTAACATTACAGGGTAGGAGAGTTAGTACAAGAGCCTAGGAGGTTAGTATTTTTTCTTACACAAAGTAAAAAACCTCGTTCCCAAGAATTCAGGGTGAGGAGTCCAAGGACGACTCAGTAACGTTCTTCATCTATCCGGCTAGCGAAAAAACACGTCGTAGCAGTCGACTACGGATAACTGTTCCAATACACATTAGAACACCACGAGATCCACTAGTGCAGGTAGTTTTGAATTTTTTCTCATTGCTTATTAAAGCATCAAATATATTTAGTTCACCATCTCTAATACAATGAGGGCCATATTATCTAAAGAGCATGTCATTTTTCTAGCTCTCGAGCTAGCATCTCCAAATTGAAAGCAATGTGCACCTCCTTCCAGCAAACACCTTGAAAACAAGAAAAGAAGAGCCACCTTTTGGCCCTTCGCCCTACTTGCTTATTACAGAATTTTGGTAACAGGTAGTCCACTATAAGAAAAAAGTGTACCGACCCCATTGTAAAGGCCAGTACCATAATCAAATGCTGCCACCATTATAAATGGGAGCCCAACGCTGGAGCGCATCTTATCATAAAAATTGTGAACCCCTACCCATCCATATTGTTTGCATCGCAACCTTTCCGTTCATTTTCAGGTTACAAGTTTTCCGTCATCGATTTCGGTTCGAAATTCTGGAGTGGTACCTCTTACCGCTAAACAATTCCATGCATCTCATCCACATGTGCCAGCACAGTCTATCGTCTACGAACTCACCCAGCCTGGTACTGCTGGCACTGAGATTCGAGTGAGCGGTCAGAAGAAAAAAATGTTCAGTCAGCAACAGGTCAGGGCTTATGAACTATAAGATTATGATTGAATACTCTTGTGCCGTGCGAGGTTGTTCAGGACTTTTGCTTGAGGGCGTCATGAACAAGCCACTGTATAGTGTAGCCACGATAGGTCTAGTCATAGCTAGACGTTTTAGCCCGGAATGGCAATTTTGATTACTGCTTCACAAAACCCACAATCTCCGGAAGCTGAGTGATGATTCTTGTCAAGAAAAGATGACGAGGACCGAGTAGGTGGACCTATGTACGACTAGTCAAATTCCATGAGAGTGCGGAACGGCTGGGTGTTGAGCAAATGGGTAGGGTGTCCATTAAAGTGCCTGTAAGAAAAGGTAGTGTGAATCTGATCTACTGACGTCAACTGATTTCGACTGATTTTTCCGAATTCCAGATTTATTATTTTTTAATTTTTCTCAGGTGAATGACGGTTTGGTATCGATTGGCCATGTACCGGCATCGATGGCAATGTCATCACACGATGTGATCACCTTGTCCGTCGAAGGTCATTCAAGAGCTCTCATCGTTAGAATTAAACCATTGGATCTTGCATTGGAGAATCACACAGTTATCGAGTATCCTCAAGGCAAAACTTATGTAGTGTTGAACCGGTACGTTGCCCTACATTCACTCAAACACTGGTACCACCATAAGAACGAGTATTCGTTTCAGGACCCATCTCGGTGCATATTCGAATGGTGATAGGACAGCTATCACTTACAAGGTGAGCTCCATTTGAGATTTGTTCAAAAGACGCTGCTGAGGAAATTAAGTTGAATTACACTAGTAATTTTGCCGTTTTTGAAAATCTTTTGTCACCTTACTATAGAGTACGGTGCCTATCTGGCAGTATTGATTTTACGCATGTGTAATCGTAACAAACGAATATCGTCTCCGAATGGTATTTTCCACTCGTGTAACTCTCTAACTCTTCAGATCACCAAAGGGCCTGAGAATGGTACCTTTTATTGGGTGGCCGGTGAAAAGGAAGCGAAACAATTCACTCAGAAAGACATCGACGATGGAAAAATTCTGTATGCTCAGCTCAATATGAATTCCTATAAGGTAAGTCAATAGGTGACTGTAACCTACAGTAATTTTTGATTAACCCCTTGCATAGGCAAAATCCTCCCAAACAGATGGGTCCATTTGTTGTTGTAGTCTGATTTGCAGGCAACTTTCGAACAGTAGAATAGTGACAGGGGTGTGGATTGAACTTTTTTTCTCGAGAGTGGACGTGCACAGTCTCCAGCTTTTTAATAGATATCGCCGGAAAGGCAAATGAAAATGCGTGTGCTGTCAGGAAAAGTGTTTAAGTCGCATCTAAAGGCAATTTTCCGAATAGATCGCTTTATCTGATGAATTTTCAGGACAGTTTTGAATTTCTTCTGGCCAATACCGAGAAGGGTGTAGTTCGAAATCGATCAGAAATTCGGGTAAAATCATTAGTTACTGCTCAGCCGGTGATCGTCGAAACGAATACTGTGGTTCCACTTACACCCAGTCAACTCAACGCTACTGCTCTACAGGTTCACTTCGATTTTCCATTCTTGGTTTACGTTGGAATTTCAAACTCAATTTCTTTATTTCAGGGCTCAACTCCCCGTTTCCTTGTCACCTCCAGTCCTCGTTACGGTAGAATCTCACTTGATCCGGACCTCAATCATTCCGCACTTTTCTTCACTTTCCCAGACATTCTTCGGAGTCGTGTGTACTTTCAGGCTTTTGCTACCGACAGAGAGGTGAGTCTTCCATTTCACATGTCGGATTTCCGGAAAACGGGTGCAGTTTAGACCTGGATTTCCACTGACAGACGGTTAAAGGACCAGGTAGGTATAGGATAGCGGTGTGGATCAGAGAGGATTCGATCCTTCGCTGTACATGTGGTAGCTCCACTACCTTACATAAGACTTCTCTGTGTTTCGAGTTCGATAACCTCAATAAAACCTAAAATTCAGGTCACTGAAGAGCTGGAACTGGAAGTCCGTGCTGACAGCGTTCAACCTGCTCGATTAATCCTTCCGATCACCATCATTCCGGCTGATTTAGATGTTCAAGAGCGATCTGAGATAGAAAAAACAGCAAATGGCAAACGAAACGAGACGGAAATCCCGAAATCGCGATTATTACCAGCTGGTGACCAACTCCCGGTGAGGCAGTTATACCAGAAGACTATCATCCAATGGAGGATTTCAGTACTTTCTCTATTTTCCGTAAATTCGGTTCTTGAATAATTTGTTGTTGAATGGACCATATTATTTAGGTAATCGTCCTGATGGTGGTACTGTTCATCACAGTATTTGTCTTGTTATGCCGGCGTAAACGTCCTAAACCAAAGATCGAAACTCCGCAGGAGCAGCCGTCGCGTTCGCCCAAGACGTCATTGCAAGAAAAGCCGGATTTGTTAGGTAATTATCTGCCAGTATTTTCTTTATTTTCCTTCAAAATTAGGTCAGTCTCGAAGCGTTTTAGTCTTACCTTGGCCCGTGACAGTCCAGATAGGGTAACTGCCATTGACGGTAGTTTCGTTCGGGGTTCGCAATACTGTGTAAGGGCATTTAATCCTGACCTCGTAGCCTTCTTTGCCATTTGCGATAGTTTTTTCGCTCAGACGGTGTGTAAAGGATGAAGAATAAAGTCTTTGGGCATTAATCAAACCCTCTGAGAGATGCGCTCCGCATTCGACCTCCATTCAAAATCGTAGTGGCGTATTGAATGCGTATGTGGCCTGTACAATGACTTGCGGTGGCTAACCGATGTACGAGTCAGTGTTTTCTCCTAGACAAGTCTGGTACTAACTAACTCTGGTACTAACCGACTCCGTAGGGATGGAAGGCTTGGTGGCTTAGGCAGCTATCGATCCAGGATTTGAACCCATGACCATGCATATGTGATAGTGCGTCATTTGCCACTACACCACCACACCAAAGTCTATAACCATTTTGATGTGGACAATGTACAAGGACATGTATAGCATTAGAACAACCATTAATATTTTATTTTGCAGGATCAACGGTGTTTGCATCAGTCGGAAAGGCGTCAGATATGTCACCACGACAGCCCTTGAGGACTTTTGAGAGGCCTCAAGTGACGCCGTTGAGTAAAAGGTTGGTGCTCAGTACGCTAGAAAGTTCCCTCAGTCAGTGGCTTTCTCTGCTAGAGATCCTCTCAGGAATATTAGAAAATGTTAGGATTCCAGGCGGCATCAACCTTCCCTCGACTATGCCGGCTTGGCGACCGACACACCGCCACCGATGCCGCTCTTCAAACAGCTGACAGCTCAACGTTCAGATGCCCAACATTGGGTTTAGCGCTCCATATACTACGGTGCCATGCTCCCTGACTGCTCGATGAGGAGTCCTCAGTATTCTTGGGTCGAGCGGCAGCAGTATAGTGAAAAAGGAGCTGCATCTGAAGCGTCCCAATCGAAAGGCGCAGAAGAATATCGAGGGCTCCAAAATGACGGCAAGTCGTGAGGAGACNCTGCAATACCACCAAGACCGGTCTTGACATTCTTTCAAGCCCTGCTTAAATGACTTCAAGGTGGTCCTTATATATTCAGGGATCATCTTGAAGGGGAATCCCACCATTACATGTTTGCAATTCATCTTGCCACATACTAGAGGGTATGTTCAGATTACCATACCGCTGCACTACCACTGTTGTGCTATTACTACCCTCTCTGGGCTACATGAGTAGGTTAGGTATTGATTTTACGCGCGTACTGCATCTGGCGGTCCCTCATACGCTGCTCTGCATTTTCGCGAAAAAGCGGAAGGCTGCATTATAAGACACTCTGCCAAAATGCTGACAGGTCAATCCTTAGCGTCTTGGCACCTGATTAGGCTCAACCTATGGTGTCTCATCTGGTTGTGTAGGGTGCTATCGACATGTTTTAAATATTCACGCCTTGAATGTCTCTTAAACAGAGCGCAGCAGGACATATTAGGTATGGTACGGGACCGTGGGGTGCATTGACACTCCATAACCTATGCCATAATGTTTCATGCCTGATCCTTATATGCCTTCAATCCACCACTGAAAGAATGCTTGCTTTTCACTGTGAGACCTAATTAGCGTTCATAGTTGGCGAATATTGCATCAGCATGTTGTACGAAACATGCGAATCGATCGTGACTCGACTCCGCACACCGGTGTCAGCGCGTTCTTTCACTCGACAACTATGAACGCTTCCCTAGCCATACAGTCGGTTTCAATTGTAAATCTGTTAAATATCAATGATAATGTGATAAGACCGCCTACAATTTGACGGGATCTGTTGTAACGATTTTTTTTGAATTTTGTGATGCATTCCCGTTTTTAATGTTTTTTTTTGTGTAGGATTTAATTGTATGTATACGAACGTCAAAAACTTCCTGAAGAGGAGTTTCTTGACTTTGGATATCTGCCAAATATCTATGTGCTCTTTCTGAATTCTTGCCATTGCTGTTGTCTTTTTTCTAAGGACTTTCATCATGATCGAATTACCATAACAAATAATTAATGTTGTACATTTATTAATATTATTTTGGTCATGAAAAAAGCATATGTCCATGTTTTGATACCTGATGTTGAAGATCATGACTCTGAAAAGTTACAAATGAGAGGTGGGTTATAAAATCCACAAGTCGAGAAGTAGAAAAGGTTACTGACGAGAGACAGCCGTGTAGAGCTTGAATGGTCGGAATGAACGACGAGGATCATGCGGTTCTAGTGGTATAGGTGGCTGAAAAAGGATCGGTTGAACGCTCTCTCCTGGGCCTAAGATTCACTTTCCCTAGTTAACTAGTGAGTACTTGAATATAATGTAATATAATATGTTTGTAAATTTAACTTTTCCCGAGTTTTAAACGAAATTTTCCTGATGCAGAACATCTTTTCCCCCTATTCCTTATTTTTTGTCATTTTCCCACTCATGTGCCCTATGAAGCTCCCAAAATGCATCCGTTCGGTTGTGAAAGTTCCGCCCCTTTCAGACGACATCGAAGATTTGGACATAATTTAGCCGTTCTGAAGGTATCAACATGGCATTCATGAGTTTGTATTTGAGTGACTTTTGACTTTCTGTAGTCTCGTAATACCATGCAATTCAATGTTCCACTTCGCAGTTACAAGCCACTCCCCTTTTGCTCTTCCTTTCTTGATAGTTCTTAACAGATGCAGACTCATTGCCCCTCTCAGTCTTACTCCTGAAAACTGCTAATTTTCGCCTAATTTTTTAATGCGCTTCTCAATTTCTTTTACCAATCGATACAGAACCATAAAAGATCACTACACTTCCAAAATTAAAACCGTTATCTGGATAGGTGGGCTGTCTCGTCAAAAATGCTCACAAGCCACGCCCCTTTTACTTGACAAACCCTATCTCATATGACCCAAGTTCCCCAACCAGATCGAGCTGTTATTACTTAGTACATAAGTCTACAGTAAAACCATATTTCCTGATACAAGCCCATTTCAAAGGAGATCCTTCTCTTTTCCATAGATGAGCTCCCTTAAGTCGATTCCCGATCTCTTCTGGACGTATCAATCATTTTCTCCTTGGTGAAATTAAATGTCTTCTGGAGCAAGAGCCTTTATGTCTATCAGAGACATAGCATAATTTACTTACCGTTATCCTAGGAGCCAAGGTGGGTCGTTCAGTTGGCACTGGACATGATCCACCAACGCAACTCCGAGACTCGTAGGAATCACCTGAAATTTTAATTAGTTTTGAGTGGTTCCAACTTGAGATTTTGAAAAAAAGTTCTCAAATTTCCAGATTTCTGATGTTGGAAGGATTCGGCACATGATCAGAGGAAACATTACCTTGGCATCCTTGACTTAAAACACCTGAATAGATGCATCTTCGCGTTCGGACCTGCTTCTCACAGAAGCAATCGGCCCATTCACCCCATTCCGTCCATCGGCTTTCTGTAATATGACAAAGCTCAAGACAAGCTCGATTCTATTGTTGCCAATTTGACAACTAAAAAGAAGGCACAGACAGTGTTGCAGTAAAATCACTCGGAGAGATCCCTGATCATTGACTTCCCATCTAACAAAGATAACTCTGTCTATTACCTCTTGTTATCACCAATAATAATCATATATCATACCTTGTCGATCAATATCCCCTTCAGTGATTAGATGCATGGGTTGTTGGTGGAAGTCAGCATTGGATCCAGGAAGGAATCCTTTCTCTATAGGGACCAAGTTCAGATCCAGCGCTTGTGGCGGCGGCATATACTGAAACCAATAGCTGAGTAGTAGTTGGGGACCTGTTGACTGAGCAGGAAATTCCCCCAAATTTCAGCGTTTAATGTGATAATAATAGCTATTTCCATGTAATATTGAACCATATAGCCACGAAATCAACGCCTGCCTTACCTGAAGAGGATTTACAGAATCAGTGGTATTCGTTCCAGAGGTCATTCCCTTGGGATCAGAATTTCCTGTTGTGTCGACCTCTGTTTATCATCAACAATGATCAAATATCTTACCTTGTCGATCGATATCGCCTTCAGTGATCAAATGCATGGGTTGTTGGTGGAAATCAGCATTAGATCCAGGTAAAAATCCCTTCTCTATAGGAACCAAATTCAGATCCAACGCTTGTGGTGGCGGCGCATACTGAAACCAATAACTCAGTAGTAGTTGGGGCTTACTGACTAAGCTCCAGCTCATGAAATTCCAAATTTCAGCGCTCAAAGGCGTAGTTCATAATA